AGCTGGCGCACGCATAACAGCCGTGATGTTGATTTAAGGAAAAAGTCAACTATTGTCATGCGTCTACTCAGAGCGCAGCTTTTCGGTGGGTCGTTTTTCCAAAAACATTTTTTTTTCTGCCAACAAAAAGGGAAAACGGATAAGGCTGAAATTTGGTGGCATGGAGTTCCCTGAGTCTACCTTTCAGAAGAAAAAAAAATTTAGCTAAACGGCATTTTTTCAGTCCCATTTTCCTGAATTTGTTTTGATCCAACGAAACAGAAACAGAAAATTTAAACAACCCTCAGAAGTGCCTGTTTGATGGCCGAGTAGAGAAAAAATCCTACTTTTGAAATATGTCCCCTTTGCGTAGATTAATAGGAGGGAAGTATTTCAATATGTATTCTCCACCCTTACAAAAAGGCACACAAGAAAAGATTTCAAGTTAGGCACAATATAAATCATATAGGTAAAGATTTTGATAAAAATCAAGGCTTTCGTCCCCATATATCATGTATTTCAATGGGGACGTACTTGAAATACGTGTTTGCCATTTCGCAAGGAATAAATTAATTAATGACTCTCCAAGGTAATGGAGCGCCGAAGGCGCAACCACACTCGCTAGTATGAGTTTGTTCTCCATTGATTCTCAAAATTTCACCAGGGTATGATGCGCCGAGGCAATCGTATCAGACCTAATTGAAAAGAAGTCAGATGTTGAGAATGGACAAGACTCCTTAACGCTAAGCCTTTCGGGTTCCTGGAATCAAATCGTTAATCCAATGTTAATCCTCTTCGCTTTCCGTTTCCCCGAGTTTGTTCGTCGATGGTTTCTTGCAGTTTGGGTGGGGGCGGGGCTCTCTTTCAAATATAGCAAAAAGAAAAAATAATAATTGCAATTAATTTCTGAACTCATTCATCAGGGTGGAACAATCTTTGCTTTTCACTTTCGTCTTTCTAAGGCTTGCTGTGCCATTTTAGGAATTATTTAGGGATTTACCTTTTCTTAAAATCTGAATCCTGAGAGAAGAAGTCAAGGATTCTTTGCAGAGCAAGGGGATCTCGGGTTCGATCTTGCCAGACTTCCCTTTCTCGGCAATAAATAACAACTATTATGGCTGTACCGATGTATCAGCCGCCATTGGCCATTGGCAGAAAGCAGGCGCTGCATTCAGCCCAGAAAGAAAATTACAGGACGAAATTCATCATTTATTAATTGAGAGAAACATCACTCAAGGATCACAGCTTCATTTTTGGCATCACGACCCGAAATGCTTAGAATACCGAAGCATGAGAAAAGCAAGGGAAGGTACTGTAGGCCGACAATCCATAAAAATGAAATCCAGAATGCAAATCCCCCCCAAAAAAAATGAATTCGAAACGGGAAGCGAGATGAAATCATCCGAAAATGCATGAACAAGCACATTCCGATTGGCAAGGCACAAGTGACGCCTGACTCCATCGATTACGAGAATGCAAAATTGGCTCAAGCCGTACAAACTTGCAGCAAAACCAATTGCAAGTCCTTGTTTACATGCAACAGGCGTCTCCCAGCGCCTGGACGTACTCGTCGATCCACGCGTTCAGCTTCCCCGTCATGACCTCGATGCGGTCCCACTCCCAAGGGAGCAGTTCGCGAAGGTTCGCAAGCCCGTCCGACAGAAACTTATGGGCAGCATTCTCTCGTGGATACTTCACCTTCCGGCGTTGTCCACCGCTTGACAGGAGATGGGAGCACTCATAAACCTGCGGAACGTGAGCAGAACCAGACGTGAAGATTAAGTGAGAAAGTGATCGTGTTGCAGGTTTTCCATATTCTAAACCTGGCGCATCACCATGATGGATCATTCCCATAAATCCTTAAGAGTTAAGAGCCTCCTGCATTTGTTCTCCTACTTTTCCACCTTTAATAAGAGCGACATTTACGCATCCTCGACAGTTTTGTTGCATGGTCTGCTCTCAATATCGGACAGATCTTTATTTGCAAGGACTTCACTGCAATTGTGACCACAGTCGACAATGAGATTAAAGTCGTTACTGTTATCCACGTGGAAGTATCGACTATCAGCATGACGATTTAGCATTTCACAGATATGCAGCAGCAGTCCTCGACTAGATTATAGAAGTCACAAGATTTTGCATCGATACGATATCGCCCAGCTCTATGCTGTCCCCGCGGGAAAAAAAAGTACGCAATGTCAATTATGCCTTTTTCCTCGTCCCATTACTTATTTGATTTTGAATCTAATAATTTGCCTCTGGCTTGCCCAGATTTTGCCTCAACCTTGTAATAGGAAATCTGAATGGCACCCATATCTCTAGTTAGTGATGTCCAATTCCGACTCCAATGAAGCAAATGACAGGGGGAATTAAATATTCAGAACGTTTTTCCCAAGTCACCAAACTTCTCAAATCTGCTAATGACTCCATTAATCACCAGATTCACAGATCATCACGATGCGGATACGCCCTATTCATCCCATACTAATGAAATTACTGCAACCCTGTTCATGGTAACACTGACAGTACGACGGCTCTCTCGAAACGTCTGAAACGTTCTTGAAGAGTCCGCAAGACTCGGCGCTAAACGACAGAAATACCTCCGCACGAGAGCAGGCGGCAGCCAATCGTTCCACAATCATCTCTTGTCCCCCCCGTTAGAACATGCGAACGGAAACGGATAAGTAGTGACTCTTATGCAGGATATCGAGTGAGAGCCACCAGTGCAAGATGGTAGCATCGTGGACGAAAAATCTGCAAACGGGAAGTACTGGCGAAACCAGGAAGGAACAGACTTGTATGGGTTTCTTCCAATGCAGCAACATGTCGAGGGCATTTTCAGCATGACGTAATCCAGTTTCTGGCTGATACTCGGAAAAGTATTGCATTTGAACGATGTGCAACGAAACTTGGTGCGGCAGTTCTGGATATCTCTTCAGCATTTCTTGCCACTCGGCAGCAACATCAAACTCCATCTCGTTCAGCATCAGCGAGACGTATGTCGCATGTGCTGTGAAGTTTCCGTTGCCATAGGGATGATCGATGGCAGCCAACAGATGCCTTTTAGCCTGTTCTGAGTCCTCCTGCCTCAAGTAGAATATTCCCAGCTTGTGATTCACCAGGCTGTTGCTCGGACACATGGCGTATGCATTCAGGTAGCATTCTTCGGCCTTGCGCGGGTCCCTCATTTCCGGCGGAAGTCTCATCAGGCCTTCGCCACATCTCACCAAGCTATTCGCATTCAGAGATGGACACCGAGAAGCCTCTACTAACAGGGCATGGGCCTCTTCAGTGAATCTGTGTCTCATTTGGCGACCGATCATGAGTTTGTGCCCAAAAACCTTTGCAGCTCTATGCATATCTTCCAGAGTGTGGGCAAGATATATCAAACTGTTCTGACACCTCTTGATTTCGACTGCTTTCCTCAGTGCCATGACTTCTTCATCTGTGGGGAAAACACTACTGAATTCAACACGACGGATTTTTCTCAACATCAAGCCCACTCCCAACTGAAGATTGTAGTTTCCTGGATCCATCGTAACTCCTTTCCTATACACTTCAAGGGCATGCGGAAACCATTCGGCAGAAAAGGCGCAGAAGGCACCTGCTTTAGCGCAAAGAATTTCAGCCTTCACTTTCTTTGACAAATCCGAAAATTTTTGTGTTTTCAGGAGAATCTCTCTGGCTCCCTCAAAATCCTCAAACAAGAAATACACATGGGCGAGGTCGCAACTCGTGAGATATTGGAGTGCTGCTCTTTCTTCAGGCGTGGAATCATCCATCTTCTCTATATCCGACTGAATTCCCTGCAGAATTTCGCGCGCTTTCGAGAGATCTCCATGTCGACTGTGTTCATAAGCGAGCAGGAGGCCGTAAGTTGCCATGAGCATGGGCCCACCATCTTCTTCATGCATGATCTGTTTCTCCTCGATTTTGGAAATGTGACTCTCTGCACGTTGATTACGTCCGCTCTCAAACGTCTTCCACGAAAAGTGACATTCGGTTTCCTCCAGCATCTCCTTCACGGATTCCTGAATGGGTTTGCATTCATTCTTCTCTCCTCTTTCAGGATCGATCTGAATGCCGATCTTCGGATCTATTGGCCATGATGTCGCTTAATTCTGATTTTATGTGACTAACCTGAAAGTAAAGCGAGGCATATGATGGCTGAAAACGATCGCTATATGCATCTTGCTGGATACTACGATTTTAGATTTTACTATGTCAGAAATGAAAGGGAATTGTGCTGTTGCTGGCAGTTTGGCAAACTTGACTCGAAACACTGCCTTCAATTTCATAGAAAGGCACCTGGTGAAATTACTGGAGTCACAAAGCTCTCATGATTTTTTTCCGTCAATAATTTTTTTGTTTGCCAGTTTTAGGAAATAGAGATGTAGTCTGAGATGATTTTACAGATCTTCATTAATCTGATTCAACCGCCATAGGTGTGGCTTTAAATTAATAATGATCCATTTCTAAGCCTGCCTGCCAGGGTAACAGCACCTTTTGCCTTCCCATTTTCTTCTCCCAAAAGCCTGCTATGCCAATTCATGCATCAACCGGGATTTATCTTAATGTCTGATTTTTGAGCGAAGACGCCGAAGAGTCTTTGACTATCGAGGAGGACAAAATTAGCTCAAACCGTACAAACTTCCGTCCCACGTCATTTGAGAAAGTAATCCCCTAAAACCCGAAGACTACATCACACTCCACAAAAAAAAACTCGAACAGAATGAAGCCATTGAAAGAGACACGAAGAAGAAAAGCCTTCATACTGCTGGGTCAGTTTCCTTCCACGTCAAGCCGGATCTCCTGCAGATAATAAAATATTCTCTGGGGAAATTCGCAGGATCCGTTAGGGATGCAGGTGGAGTGAATGTGAGAAAGAAGAACGGGATTCAAGGCTCCAGGTCCTCCAATCCTTTTCCTATTGTAATATGTGTTTGAAATCGGAATTGACGTTTAATTTAATTTGCCAGCATACCTAATATATGCGAATTCTGATATTTAGATTTTCTTTGCCGTCCTTCGAGGTGAGTAGAGATTGTCGCCTGGAACCCAAGGTACCTATTATGGGCTTGCTTACTAGACCCAGATTTTATCGAAGAGACAGCAGCTAGTCATACGAACAAGATGGTAACTTTATTGAATAAGCGTTCTTGGAATATTTTAGAAAAATATTCGAAAATTACTGCTAGTCTTACATGAAAATAGGATGCATTTGCCCTCCTTCACCCTAAAAAAGTCAAAATATACAAGTAATCCAAGCATTTTTACAGATTTAATCACATTCGAATCACAGTTTAATATGCAGTCACATTGGGGAAAATGCACAAGGGCAGGAATGCATTCAACCAAGAAAGTAAATTACAGGATGAAATTCATCATTTATTAAGTGAGAGAAGCATCACTCAAGGATCACAGCTTCATTTTTGACATTACGAACCGGAATGCTTCGAATAGCGAAGCATGAGAAAAGCAAGGGAAAGTACTGTAGGCCGACAATCCATGAAAATGCAATCCAAAATGCAAATCCCAAGAAAATGAATTCGAAACGGGAGGCGAGATGAAATCTTCCGAAGGTACACGAACAGGCACATCCTGATTGGCAAGGCACAAGTGACGCCTGACTCCACCGATTAAGAGAATGCAAAATTAGCTCAATCCGTACAAACTTGTAGCAAAACCAATTGCGAGTCCTTGTTTACGTGCAACAGGCGTCTCCTGGTGCCTGGACGTACTCGTCGATCCACGCGTTCAGCTTCCCCGTCATGATCTCGATGCGGTCCCACTCCCAAGGGAGCAGTTCGCGAAGGTTCGCAAACCCGTCCGACAGAAACTTATGGGCAGCATTCACTTGTGGATACTTCACATTCCGACGTCGTCCATCCCTTGACAGGGGATGGGAGCACTCATAAACCTGCGGAGCATGAGCAGAACCAGGCGTGAAGATTAAGAGAGAAAGTGATAATGTTTCAGGTTTTCTATAAAGTAACTTGGGGAAATATGGCGACCATTGGGATTATATGGCCCTTCACGATGAATCCCATAACAGGCTGAATAATTAATTTGAGCGAATTTTTAAAATAGTTCTATCGAGAAGTACATGCAAATTTCGAAAGGTTTAGACCTGTTCATTGATCTATCTATAGTACCCTCACAGAAATTCGGGATACGTCGATGTTTTGAAAGTAATATGCATGCGATTCTTCAACTCATGACCCTGAAACTAATATGAGCCTTGAGCAACTTAAACGTATATTTCCTATTAGCAGCATGGATACAGAAACCTTTGCATCAAAGTTATTCTATGGTCCAGAATGCTTGTTGAAAGTGCTAGAACCTTCACTTGCGGTTTGTAGACGGTGTTGTCAATTTTGTCATGCAAGCCGATATGGGAGAATATGGCCATCTCGATTTGGGGTGATATGGACACATCCTTCATTTTATGGTAGTACCGCAATGACCTATCGGTAGTCAGCTTCTTGTCATGTGGGACCTCAGGCACCAAAAGGTCATCAATGCACTTCCTCTGGATTTATGGATAGACGTACTGGACATCCGGACGAAATATCCAGTAAACGAGAAGATACGAGCGTTGCAATCGCTCTTTCCACAACGGGTCCTCGAGTCATGCAATGACTTTTGTGCTTGTCCTCGATGCGGTTTCTTTTTCAACTGCTGAGCTTCCTTTATTATGTTTCAAGGCACTCAGCATGTTCCACCACATTTCACACGTACCTCGAAAACCTGGAGTTGTTTCTTGAAAAGTGGCCATATTCCCGCAACGATAGGGGTAATATGGCCTCTTGGGAAAAACTTGGAAATGATCCAAAGGCGCAATATCCATGCTGTTTATCGCATGTGCCTTGCTGGGATTTAGTAAAAAAAAATATATAAATCAATATTTTAGAAAAATCGTAAAAGTCAAAATTCGACCTTAATGGGCCGTTAAGACCAGGTTTCACTTTTTATGACCATATTCCCCCAAGTTACCCTATTCTAGGGCCTGGTGCATCACACTTGGTGGGTGACCCTTAACACCATAAGAGTTAAGAGCCTCCTTCATTTCTTCTCCCTCGTTTCCGCCTTCAATTAGAGCTATTTTTACGCAAAGCATCCTTGATTGTTTTGCTGCATGATTTGCTCTCAATATCTGACAGAAATCTATTGGCAAGGACTTTATTGCTATTGTGATCGGAGTAGACATTGAGACTGAAATCGTTGCTGGAGGGAATATCGACCATGACGATGTAGCATCTCACAGCTATGCAGCAACACTGCAGTTCCTCTACTAGAGGACACCAGATTCATCATTGATACGATATCGATCAGTGTAAATCCCATATCGTCGAGCTCTATGATGTCCCCGCGTGAAAAAAAACTGTGCTGTCAATGAAACCTCTATCCCCGTCCCATTTCTTATTTGATTTTGAATCTAATATATCTGTCTCTGTCTTGCCCAGATTTTGTCTCAACCTTGAAATAGATCTTCATGAGGCGGATACACCCAATTTATCCCATACTAAGGAATGTTCAGGAACCATGCTCATCTCATGGTAATACTGACAGTACGACAGCTCTCTCGGTTGAGGAAGGCAGGGAAGAGTCTGGAACATTCTTGAAAGGTTCGCAAGACTTGGTGCTAAACGATAGAAATACCTCCGCGCGAGAGCAGGTGGCAGCCGCTCATTCCACAATCATCTCCTGTCCCCCGTTAGAGCATGCGAACGGAAGCTCTATGAAGCTCGCCGCTTCAAATACGTGCTAATGTTTTGTAAAACGCTTACGTGTGAGGAATCTGTAAAACTTATGGTATGAAAATTTCATCGAACGCAGTGGTTCGATGTCCTAACGAAAAAATTATTTAGGATTCCTTCAAGAACCTACGAGAGGTTTCCTATAGGAAGTACATTATGAGAATCCAATAGGAAACCATTAGGGACGTCGCCTTCCTATATGAGACCCCTTAAGATTTGTAATAGGATCTTAAAGGGTCCTACAGACCCTATCAATAGGCTTTGGTAGCAATTATTACCTTTCTTCAACCCCCTCCCGTAGCGAAGTTCAACCTCCTCGTAGTCCTCTCTGAAAGCATCAACAGGAACGAATTTAGGCATGTTTCTTCCTCTCTCAACATAAGAAAGATATTGACTTGTAGATGAAGAAAAGGGGCTTTTTTGCTGTTTGTGATGCTCCATTTCGCCATTTAAAAAAAAATGAAATTAGCTGTCGTTCAATTAGGCTTAGAGTGCTTGCTCCAGTACCGTCTACAAGTGTTTCCGGATACCATGCTGAACTTATGCCAGATTCAGGACTACTTCAACCTTGTATCGGCGTCTGGATCTTCTGTTTCTTTAATGTATGAGACATTTTTGTGCTGAGTACATGAGTTGAGCAGAGATTGAAACGGTAGTTATCTGTGACTGATGGATGTGGTGGGATATGGAGATATGGAGATATCTCATCCGGACATCCCTGAATTAACAGGATGGCGCACGCCATGGATTTCATGCTTCCTGGAGGCATTCCCTCTCCAGCAAAAGTCCCAGTTAGAAACAGCAAGCTTTCCATCCGTGAATGTGAGCCACTTCCAGCAGGAACTGCAGCATTTCCAACCAGGCCAGTAGTAAAGGGGTATGCTGTTTCCAGCTGGAATGAATCAACCGGATCCAGTTGGAATTCCACGCTGTATTCTGCCCGATTTCTGCTTTTCCAGTCGAGGAATGCCTATATTCTAATTCCCAATTGGGACCAGTGACGTCTCCTGCACGGCTGCTGGAAAAGTCCATCACAAACCGAGTGAAGCCATTAATATTTCCGGCCGGAACTTTTTGCCGGGTCCTCAGACCTATTCGAAATGGTTCAAGGATCTCCAGATAGGCGTAACGTTCCACGTCCGCACAGAAATGGTCCATGAAACGAGAAACAGACCTTAAATCAGTCTAACGTTACAAGTTCTCTCTGAAATGGTTCGTGAAAGTGTGAATAGGCCTGGGATTAGCCGACTGCAACGGATTCACCCTCATAGGCCTAATTGGTGCCGTAAGTCGAGAATTGAGTTTCTTTGGAAAGAAAAAAGTTAGGCCTTGGCGCGATCTGAAGGCAGTCTGTTGGTTAGGCCTAAGCCTAACGTTAGTGAATCCCGTAAAGAAGGAGGGGGGAGGGGGGGGGTAATTGAAGAAAGGGAAAGCCATCGAAAATTGATTTTCACATTACGTCATAGGAATTTGATCTTCCTTTAGAACATCGTCTTGGTTTCTTATAGGATTCTGGAGGTTCCTATTGGTAGCCCATAGGAACTTTGGCTTCCTCTAAGGCACCTCTGGGTTTCTTATAGGAACTACGAAATTCCCAAAGACAATCCATGGAAGCCATATTTGACCTCAAAGCGAAGTACTCACGGTATCGTACTAAAAACCATAATGAAAGATACTTGATCCATATCACTCTTTGGCTATGTGATCAGTAGTGAATCTTAGGGTAACTTGGGGGAATATGGCCTTTGGGGTAAAATGGCCCTCCACAATGAATCCCCTTACAGACTGAATAATTCGTTTGGGCGAATTTAAAAAATGGTTCTATCGAAGAGCACATGCAATTGTCGAAATGTTTAGACCTGTTCATTGATCCAATTGTCACAGGAATTTGGGATACATCGATGTCTTGAAAGTCATATGCATGCGATTCTTTGACTCATGACCCTGAAACTGATATGAGCCTTGAGCAACTTAAGCGTGTATTTCCAATTAGCAGCATGGATACAGAAACCATTTCATCAAAGTTATGCTATGGTCCAGAATGCTTGTGGAAAGTGCTAGCCCTTTCACTTGCGGTTTGCGGACAGTGCTGTTAATTTTGTCATGCAAGCCGATATGGGGTAATATGGACATCTCGATTTGGGGTAATATGGACACATCCTTAATTTCATGGAACCACTGCATTGACCTATCTAAGGAACGTTTTTCCTGCAATGTAAGACCTCTTAGTTTACACTCGTAACGCACGTTCACTTTAGATTTAGATTTAGATTTAGTAAAAGATATATGAATCTGTATTTTAGAAACATTTTAAAAGTCCAACTCGACCCTGATGGGCCGTTATGACCAGGTTTCATTTAGTAGGACTATATTCCCCCAAATTACCTTATGCAGGATATTGCATGAGAGCCACCAGTGCAAAACAGCAGCATATCAATGGCGGCTCGTGAACGAAAAATCTGCAAACGGGAAGTACAGGCGAAACCAGGAAGAAACAGACCCGTGTGAATTTCTTCAATTGTAGCAAGGTGTCGAGGGCATTTTCAGCATGACGTAATCCAGCTTCTGGCTGATACTCGGAAAAGTATTGCATTTGAACGATGTGCAACTGAATTTGGTGCGGCAGTTCTGGATATCTCTTCAGCATTTCTTGCCACTCGACGGCAACATCAAACTCCGTTTCGTTCAGCATCAGCGAGACGTATGTCGCATGTGCTGTGAAGTTTCCGTTGCCATAGGGAAGATCGATGGCAGCCAACAGATGCATTTTGGCCTGTTCTGAGTCCCCCTGCCTCCAGTAGAATATTCCCAGCTTGTGATTCACCAGGCTGTTGCTCGGACACATGGCGTATGCATTCAGGTAGCATTCTTCGGCCTTGTGCGGGTCCCTCAATTCCGGAGGAAGTCTCATCAGGCCGTCCCCGCATCTCACGAGGTTCTTTGCGTTCAGAGATGGACACCGAGAAGCCTCTACGAACAGGGCATGGGCCTCTTGAGTAAGTCTGCGTCTCGTTCGGCGATCGATCGTGGGGTAGCCTCTTGAAAGCCTTGCAGATCTTACCGAGTCTTTCAATGATTCGGCAAGATATATCAAACCGTTCGGGCACCTCTTGATCTCGACCGCCCTTCTCAGTGCGATGACTTCTTCATCTGTGGGAAGATTACTACTGAATTCAACACGACGGATTTTTCTTAGCATTATTCCCACCCCTAAGTGAAGATTGTAGTTTCCTGGATCCATCGTAACTCCTTTCCTATACACTTCAAGGGCATACGGATAACATTCTATGGAGCACTCAGAGAAGGCACCTGCTTTTGCACACAGAATTTCAGCTTTCACTTTCTCTGGTAAGTCCGAAAATTTTTGTGTTTTCAGGAGAATCTCTCTGGCTCCCTCAAAATCCTCAAACAAGAAATACACATGGGCGAGGTCGCAACTCGTGAGATATTGGAGTGCTTCTCTTTCTTCTTGCGTGGCATCGTCCAGCTTCCCCATGTCCGACTGGATTCCCCGTAGAATATCGCGAGCTCTCGAGAGATCTCCTTGTCGGCCGTGTTCATAAGCGAGCAGGAGGCCGTATGCCGCCATGAGTACGGGCTCGCCATCTTCTTCGTGGATAACTTGTTTCTCTTCGATTTTGGAAACCTGGCTCGGGACACGACGAACGCCGCCGTGCTCGTCCGGCCACCACGAAAAGTGACATTCCGTTTCCCGTAGCATCTCCTTCACGGATTCCTGGATTGAGTTGCATTCAGGTTTCTCTTCTTTTCCAGGAGTGATCTGACGACCATCTGGAGACCGATTTTCGGAACTGTTGGCCATGATTACATATGACCGACCTGCAAGGAAGGTAAAGGCTAATGGATTAACACGATTACTACAGGGTGGCTCAAAAAATCGCTCCCTCTTTTGTGGTTTTTTCCAATGTGATATCACTGGAAACACCGCAAATTTTGTTTTCTGAAAGTTTCATGTACCTAGGTCGTCTGAATCGACAGTCGTTCAAAGTGAAGTCACACAATGTATATTATCCGTGCATGAGGTTGATGGAGTTCCAGCACTGCTTGAATTATGTCTCTCCCTTCACGCCATTAATGCTGCTTTTTATGCCAATTCTCATCGTAGTATTCTGTAGTATCGATTCTGATGCTACGACGTCCCACAGTAATCCTTTAGTACTACTGTGGTACGTCTATTCTACACGTCGTAGAATATATTCTACGACGTTGTGAATGCTACGACGAGGACACAGCGTAAAATGCAGTCTCTACGACGTCAAGCAAGAGAAATCATTCATCATGTGTCCAAATGAATTGTACCATTGTCGACGGGTTATGAAATCTATGGCTTTACTTGGCACTTTGACGAATCGCAGGGTGAAAATGGCAGTTGCTCTATGAAACGTTGGGGAGGGTGTGGGAGTGATATTGGATCTGTTAAAAGTAAAAGGTGGAAAAAACCTTTCTGTTCGAAGCTTTAGAAAACGCACTGCATAGAAGATGGGGTCTTTTGTTTTTTATATCGTTAGGAAAACACTAAAATTCGTTTCCCGAAAGTTCCAAGTCTCTACGTTGTTTGAATAATACGCAAGAATACGCAAGGGGGGGGGGTATGGAAACCGAATAAGGTCGTAAAATGTTCTAATGGCCCAATTCTATATAATAAGGGACTCTTGCACAGCTTCTGCGCGGAGAATTCTCCAAATATCAATATCCGTCATTTGAACTGAGAATCCTTGAATTCCATTATAATCTAATCTCGCATCATTTCACAAAAAATGCCCTTACAATAGACGTCTTGGGACATGACGCAGCTTTCAAAGTATACGCGACCAAGATTAGCCCTATGTTCCATCGAGTCCCGCCGACTTCAAGCCTGACCTTATCAATAAATAAAAAAATAAAACACTCCCGATATTCATAGCACGTAGATAACGAAATCTACGAATGATGAGGATTATGCAGGTCGAGTGAATGGTGGAGAATTACCGGAAAATAGCCTGTCTTTCATTAACCGCATCAGTACGCCGTTATAGAGTAGCTTTAATTCGCTCCCATGGGATGAAACTTTCTTCTGACAAGCCCGGGCCAGTTTCAAATTTTGCGATTTTCTCGGACCCTGATGGATGGATGATGACTGTATGAGTTTTGATAAGTGACATGACTACAGATATCACCACCACAACCGCCATCATTACGGGCCGACTTCGAAAGTCACATGGGGCAGCAGGATTTTCAGAGTCAGGAAACAGAGCACACACGCCGCGCGAAATTTCGAGGCCTCTTCGCTTCGCAAAGACGCAAGGTACTGAAAGGAAGAAACCGGAGGCAGCACGGGGAGAGGTGCCTCCGGATTCTTCTTTCGCCTGCAGGGAGAATCACCTGTAAAAATTGAATTCGTAGCGAAGGGGGTCACAGCACCGCGTCCGGACGACGCACCGACTCGAGGGAACTCGAAGAGGCACGGCCGGAACCTCGCGGCCCACAGAGCATCCACCATCGACCGTAGACGACCTCCACGATCGCGAGTTCGTCCCGTCCCCTTATCTTCCAGCTTTCGACGATCACCTTCGGCGCTTGAAGAGGCATTCCCGTCCGCTTCCCCTTGCCGAGTGGTCGTCCTATCCCTCCGATCCAGAGATTGGATCAGCTGATGATGGATGTGCGGGCGCTTCTCGATCCGTTGCATGGTCGCGCGTCGGCTCTGCTACACTTTGTTTATAAGACTCAGGGATGACAAGGACTTCTTAGAAGGATCCCAAGGTCTTCTTACAATACTTATTTCTGAGTATTGCCAGTAACTCAAATAAATAGATAAAAAAAGGGGGGGGGAGGGGAAAGCAGCATTCGTCCGTGAATAAGGACCGAATCAAAATGGAAAGCTGATGTACAGATTTCTGTTTCAGAAATCAGTTTCCAGGAAAAACTGGTAGAAAGCAGAATCCTACAATAGAGACCTGAAGTTCTCTTGATTTTCGAGGCCATTGGAATCGCTGCCGGTTCGGTCCTGCACGAGTTCATCTGGTTCCAATCAAATTGGCCATTTCGAAAATAATTTATTTAAATAATACCGGCAACAAAAAAAAGAAAACCACAGGGAAGCGACGATACGATATCTGCTTCGCGTACTGAACATGTCCCATGACGATCTCCAAGATGTCCAACCCAGGTAACACAGAACATTGAATCAACATGGATTGGAT